CAGGGAGGAACAGCTGTTCCTCAGGGAAAAGGTGTTCCTCAGCACCTGCTGAGTGGCCATATTCCCTGAATGTCAGAAAAGTAACAAAGTGACTGTTTTGGACAAAATTCTGAGCTTAAAACCTTGCCTGAATCAGTAGCCACCAAATTCATTGTGCACATCTTATAATTTCCAAGAACATACATATTAAGTGAATATTTTTATAATTGTGAAATGGTCTGTTCAGGGCCCTCATTCCTCAACCTTCTTTTTCAACCACCCTCTCATTAAGGAAGCATATGTATTAATCATGGTTTTTGTTTTTTGTATTATATGTCTTGACATCTTAAAATTCTTGCTGGTTACAGAGAGACTTAGCTCACTGCAAGCTCCGCCTCCCGGGTTCATGCCATTCTCCTGCCTCAGCCTCCCGAGTAGCTGGGACTACAGGCGCCCACCACCTCGCCCGGCTAGTTTTTTGTATTTTTTAGTAGAGACGGGGTTTCACCGTATTAGCCAGGATGGTCTCGATCTCCTGACCTCGTGATCCGCCTGTCTCGGCCTCCCAAAGTGCTGGGATTACAGGCTTGAGCCACCGTGCCCGGCCACTAATTTCTAAAAATAGTAAACAACTATCTTGGGAGCAAGTCAAGCCAACCACCCTCTTTATCTAACGCTTACTCACCAAACCAATACTTTCCCTGCACTAAATCGTCTCAGCGTTACTGCCAGTGAGTTTGCAGCAGTCCGCAGCAATATTGGTCCTTGCCTCCTCAGAAGAAAATTCAACCGAGAGGGCAGAGGTTGGTTTAAGGCAGAGGAAGAGACCAAGGCAAGTTTTTTTTAAGCAGGAGTGAGAATTTATTAAAATGTTTTAGAGTAGGAGTGAAAGGAATCAAAGTACACTTGAAAGAGGGCCAAGTGGATTACTTGAGAGGTCAAGGACCCCACTTGATCCTTGGCTTGGAACTTTATACATTTGCTCATTTCCCAGGCTCCCTGTTCTCCTCCCTTGGGTAGGCTGTTGCTTGACTACTGCATGCACAGTGGTCTGCCAGCACTTGGGAGGGGCCGCATGCAGTAAACATGACTGTTTACTGAAGTCATACATATACTCATTTGGGGTGATTTTCCCTTACGAGTTAAGCACCCCCAGAGGAAGGTCAAATACCAGTCAAATTTTGCCATCTTGCCCCATTTTGTGCATGCTTGAAACCTTATCAGAGATTGCGGTTCACTGGCTCTGGGTGTCTTCTATCTGTTGGAAAACTCTTTTCCTTCCTGGTACCAATCATGGCCGCTTACCATCTCAGAGGGATAGTTTTATGCTCTCCTGTCCTTCACCCAATGAGAGCTGGACATCTCAGGGGTCCCTCTCTTGTTCTGTTTATTATCTCAGAGGAAAAGATTTATGGATTGCCCATCCTTAATGCCAAAATTGCCTGAAATTCCTGGGGTCCCTCTCTCCTGCCCTACTCATATCTACCTACTCTAACACCAGGGTCAGGGTATGAGGCCACTAGAGACCACCCCTGTAAATCAAAGCCAACCAGCATTATTCAGACTAGCCTGTACTCAGCTGTTTGCTCTGATCTGCCTTGCCTTTCCCATGGAAAACACAATAAAGGATCTGGCCTAGGTGCTCCCCTAGCTCTTGCTTCTTCCTTTAGACTAAAACCTGTTCCTCCTGTGGCCCTGCATGGCGTACTGTACTTCTCATTTCTAGGGGAATTCTGAGTAACATTAAACTTTTATTTCAGTGGCATTGAGCTCTCCATGTCCTTTTCCAATAAAGACCCATCCACAAATTGGCCTCTCTTGGCTATGTAATATTACATATCATTCCAGCACTTCTCAGTGCTTTCACCTCTTTTCTCCATTATGCCTGCCACATTATAACACTCCATATAATTTAGCATTTTTTTCATATTTCCTCCTCTGTCTTTTTTTTTTTTTTTTTTTTTTTGAGACGGAGTCTTGCTCTGTCACCCAGGCTGGAGTGCAGTGGCCGGATCTCAGCTCACTGCAAGCTCCGCCTCCCGGGTTTACGCCATTCTCCTGCCTCAGCCTCCCGAGTAGCTGGGACTACAGGCGCCCGCCACCTCGCCCGGCTAGTTTTTTTGTATGTTTTAGTAGAGACGGGGTTTCACCGTATTAGCCGGGATTTTCTCTCGATCTCCTGACCTCGTGATCCGCCCGTCTCGGCCTCCCAAAGTGCTGGGATTACAGGCTTGAGCCACCGCGCCCGGCCTCCTCTGTCTTTCTTGAGTATAGCGTAAGCTACTGGGGTCTGTCTCTTGTTTTGTAAATGTCCCATGCAGTTAAGATAGTGTCTGAAATACAGTAAGTGTTCCTTGAACATTTGTT